TGCTCCAAGTCCTGTGCCTCATGCGAAGTGTTCCTGCTCCTGCTCCGGCTCCTGCTGGGTGAGGTGATGCTGGGCGAGTGACTGCCCGGCGTTGACTCCCACAGCAGCGCATCAATGGCGATGGCATCCACTGGCCGCCCTACCCAGGTAGCACGGTAGGTATGAATAGGCCGCTTGTAGCTTGCCGTTAGTGGCCCGGAAGTGCGCTTATCACAGTGGCGGGAATGGCTGCTGCTGATCGGTACTCCGTCCACTACCTTCGCAGTGTGATGTTCCACGTTCCACATGTTTCGCTTCCTCTCGTTCGTCAAGACACTCCCACAAGCCCCCAAGCCAAGCATTCATCATGGAATGCTTGCGTACGCTTCACTTCGTCCACCTTCCATTGCTTCGTGTAGTGCTGTCCGATATCTCCAAAACAAATGTTTCTGACCAAGGCTTACGGCAGCAGAGACCCCAGACCGCCCGCAACGGCACCTTTTTACCTCCGGGAGGCTGAGTCTGAATGCCCAGCCCGCCAACTTCATTGGCCTCTTCACCCAGACTTTCGCTCGCTGGCATTGGCACTTTCCGCACTGGCATTGGCATCGCCAATTCAGCAAAGTACACAACCGCATATGCAGGGTATCGATGTCCATCACCACACGTCGTTTCGTTTCCAGTTTCTCTCTACTAAGCATCCCTTCGGCATCTCTGGGCCCCTACTCTACTATGTACCCTGCCCTACCACCACGCCCTCGCCGTGGTTCCTGTCCTCATTTCGTTAATAGAGTTCAGACCACTCACCATGTAGTCTACTAAGAACGCAGAAATCAGTCACTGCCCACGGTCCCAAAGAGGCCCCAGAACGTCGAGAAAAACGAGAGGTAGAAGCCCCTGCGAGCCCACTAGTCCCATCTGCGTAGAACTATGCTCTCTTGCCCTGGGATGCTCCCGGCCCCGGACCCTTCGTACCCATGCCTCCACGCCCCAAACGGCATCCCTTCGTTTGCTCAGTTTCTTCACATTGTTGACTGTTGCCTCTGCGGCGCGCATCACATTTGAACATTCGGATGATGCTGAGAGGATGAGTATTCCTCCGTCATGCTGATTGATGGCTGGGACAGAAGCTGCAGCAGCAGTGAGGCCCGGCCAAGCCCTGGATATTCGTAGGCGCATTCCCAGAGCGCCGGCTTGTCCCAGGGCCCTTCCTCACTTCCATTTTAGCATCCGGGGCTTGTAAACCCTTCGCCCAATCACCTTTCCCCCGATTCTGTCTGACACGCTAGAAAGGGTAGCAGCCCAGATCCAACCTAAGACACTGCAAGGAGCCAAAATAACGACCAGGGGCACCACCACTGTCCACTGACCAGCGTGCCTGGTTAGTCTCCCCGCCCATTTTTTAGGCTTCGTTGGCCCCGGGGGAACGTGTTGGACCGACCGGGTCCGTCGACGCGGGTCGCTATCTCCCCATGCCCATGACCAGTCACTTTTTGCACATTGTAACGCTGCCTGTCTGTATGCTGCTGTGTACAAACGGGCAGATCACCGTCGGACTGAGCCTATGACAACTTCTCGGCTTCGTGGCTGTGTCTAGCTAAGGTATGCCGGCCTACGTATGCTGATCTCTAGCCTTCTCCGAGAGCTGCTGCTGCTCACTGCTGCTGCTGCTGCCCTGGACGGTTGAAAGCTTGCCGTACAAGCTGTCCGCGGCTACCAAAGCTAGCTTCCGGCCTACTCAGCACTCACCAATTGCCAATCCGATAGAGCCTGGCGGTCCCAGCCCAGCCCAGCCCAGCTATCTTATGCGTGGGTTACAGGTCCTCCAGGGGTCATCCCCTGCGTGGCTTGACTGTCAGAGAAACAGAGAGAGTTGGCCCGCTGCCCGCACTCCCCCAAGCCAAGATTCGAGTGTGAGGCGAATGGGGGGAGAGACAAGAAGAACTGGGAGGGTAGCCAGGGACCGGGGGCCGACTCCCGGGAGCGAGACACGAAGGGCACAGGAAAAGAGATGACTTTGTGCTAGTGTATCGAAGTCGATGCCCATCTCTCTCTCCTCTCCTCCCAGCGCCAAGATTCCTGGGATGACGACGTGGGGAGCAACAAGCAGGTGCCATTAAACCCAAAATCCCATGGCAAAACGGTTGGCAGAAACCAAGACAACGCGCCCAAAAGGCAAAGCCACCACGGTTGTATCCCGTACCGCTGCGTCCTCCTCCTGCTAGCTGGCTAGCTACCCGACGCTTTGAACCTAGTACCGCACCGCACATCCTACTCTCAACGTGCCACGGAGCTGGGCTGCCGGCGCTCACCCGACATCTCTTCATAAGAACCCCGGAGCTCCCACCCCTTCGCTTCACCATCCGTTTCAATCTGCCGTGTTACTCCAACGACTAGCCCGGAGCCTCCCTGCATATCATATCAACGCACAAAGACGTATGTTACATTCCGGCCTGCTCTCTCTGATATAACTAGCACCTAGTCCCATAGACCACCCCGGGCTGTCCACGACTAACATTGCGTTCAGTCATCTCTTGAACCATCTAGACGAGCAAGACACACATCATCATGAAGGCCTTTACTGCCTCCGCCCTGGCTGCGGCTCTCTGTAAGCTCCCCTGCCACTTGGTTCCCTCATCGGCAACTAACAACTTCAGATGCGGCGACGGCGTCTGCCGACCCCGTCCAGGCGTGCCCCAACGACGTCTGCTTCAAGGTCGCGGTCCCCCAGGCCGCCGCCAGCTCTGGCTCCGGCAACCTGTACTTCCAGATGTCCGCCCCGACCAGCTACCAGTGGGTAGCCCTCGGCACCGGCTCGACCATGTCCAACTCCAACATGTTCATCATGTACACCGACGGCGCCGGCAACGTGACCATCAGCCCCCGCACCGCGCGCGGCCACAACATGCCCACCGTCTCCGACAATGGCGCGGCCCTGACCCTCCTCGGGGGCTCCGGCGTCTCGAACGGCAAGATGGTCGCCAACGTCCTCTGCACCAACTGCGCGTCTTGGAGCGGCGGCTCCATGTCCCTCAACTCGGCCAGCACCAACTGGATCGCGGCCTGGAAGTCCGGCAGCGCCATCAACTCGGCCAGCAACAGCCAGAGCATCCAGCAGCACGACGACCACTCGAGCTTCACCCTCGATCTCACCTCGGCGACCGTCTCGTCCGACAGCAACCCGTTCACCGGGGCCTCGACTGGCGGCAATGGAAGTGGCAGCGGAAGCAGCGGCGGCGGCTCCACCAGTGGTGGCAGCGGCGTTGTATTTAACGGTGGTGGTGGCAAGTCCGCCATTCTCCTCGCTCACGGCGTTATAATGTCGATCGTCTTTGTTGCTTTGTACCCTCTCGGCGCCATTCTCATGCCTCTGGTGGGCAAGTGGATGGCACACGCTGTCTGGCAGTCCGTCGCCTTCGCCCTGATGTGGGTTGGCTTCGGCACTGGTTATGCCTATGCCCGCGACAACGACTATGTGAGTTGCTTTCTCTTTTGTGAAACCCGGGAGACCGCGTCCCTTCCCATCCCGCGGACGGTCTCCCCTCCCGATGCTCCATCGTCGGGCCACTCTATCCTCCAAGCCCAGAACCGTAAGCTGATACGTGATGCTCTCGTAGTTGTTCAACAACACCCACACCCTCCTTGGTACTGCCGTCACCGCCCTGCTTGCCATCCAGCCGTTCCTCGGCTACGCTCATCACGCGTACTACAAGAAGTTCCAGGGCCGCGGCATCATCAGCCATGTCCACATCTGGTACGGCAGAGCATTGATGATTCTCGGCATCATCAACGGCGGCCTCGGTCTCCAGCTCGCCAACACGCCCACAAGATATGTCGTCGCCTACTCGGTCCCCGCAGCCATCCTGGGTGTCATGTGGCTCGGCGCCGGAGTCTGGGGCGAGATGCGCAGGACTCCTCGCATGAAGCAGGAGCACAGCCATGAGTCGTCCGAGTCGCAGCAGCGCATCCCCTACCGCCAAAAGAAATAGAGACCGGGCGACGTTGACCAGAACCCGCATACAACAGAGAAACAAAGACGGACACAGTGATTACACTCCTATTACAATATGTTGTTATTTGGGGTATGGCTGTATCGAGATACGCTTGTATCTCTTTAGATAATACCTATTGAGGCCTAAACCGCAAGTAATGCAGCTTGCGGTTTCTGGGTTTGATGTGTAGCTTGGAGTTTGACGGCGTTAGGTAGCGAGCCAGTCCCCCGATGATGACGGGGGAGGCTATGAATTCATGATCACTTGATCTTTCACTACACTTCACTAGACGTCGACCAGCGATGCCTGACTGAATGCAAGCAATACGGCGTAGAAGGCGTAGGTGAAGCGCCAACATCGGTTGACATGGGAAATCAGATGAAGAAGGTGGGATGATGACGACAAAAGCCAACGTCTGTGAGGTGTGAGGTCATGATGTAAGTGAGAAGACGATGAAGAAGGTCTCGGCACACTAGCCGGATCGCATGGAGCTTAGGCCGGGGAGATGGACCCAAACGTTGGTGTCGCGGGGGGCAGCCACGGAGGCTATGATGTCGGTGGACTGACGAAACCGTTTGCCAGCTTGCGAAGAAGCTGCCTGGCCAAAGAAAGTACGCCGTCAAGCGCTTGCTATGCCACGGGATCTAGAACCCAGCTGCTGCTGCAAGTAAAGCAGCTTTGCTGCATGAATTGGCGGTGGGAATCGCATCACGTGATGGCAGTCCACCGCCCACCATTCTTGCTCCTCGTTTCCCCGAGCCGCCAGTGCAGGTGGAGAGACAGGTGCTCCTTCCACCGAGCGGGCGGGAAAGAAAGACAGCGAAAATTTTCGGCCTGAGGCACCCACAAAGCCCAACCACAGCGGTGATCACTGCGTCGTCCAACCGGCTGGCCGCTGGCTCGTTCACTCTCCAGCTTTTTACGTCCCGTCCGTACAAAACCCTCAACCACCTCTGCCGTCCTCACCCCCCATCCGCCCCCCGGTGTCGTTCTCCTCCCCCAATTGAGCCAGCCACACCCACATTCAAGATGCTCGTCCAATTGTCCAGAGCTACCGTGAGTCTTTGCCTCTGTCCCCCGTTGATGATGTTGTTTTGCTGTCGCCCCAAGGAGGGGTGGTGCTGTCGCGGTCGCGCGGTCGGAAGGAAGTGGGAAGAGAAAAAACTGACGAGCATGACCAGCGCGCCGTTTCGGCTGTCACTCGGCTGGCGAGGCCCAGCGCCGTCCAGATGAGGGGATTCATTGCCCCCACGGTCTCGCGGAGAGGTTCGTAAATCCCTTTTCCGATTTTTCCTGTCCTTCGTCTTGTCGCAATTGCCCCGGGGAGATGCGGGACGATGGTTCGTTGCGGTTCTGGTCGGATTGCCGATGCGGCCAAGGGAGACCAAAGCTCCGAAGCTGAGTGGTCCGCGAGTGACGATATCGGTCATCGACTATCAACCAACAACATCGAAACCTGTCACTGTCCCACATCGAATCCAATACCGAAGGACGATGCCTTCAATGCACAACATCATCCATTCCCGACCTCCCTGTCGTCGCCCTCTTCAACCGCACCTGCACCCCGCCTTTGTCGTCGTCGATCATGCCTCGCTAACCCCGATACAGCCGACTTCGTCCAGGAGCTCTACCTCAAGGAGCTCAAGGCCTACAAGCCTGCCGCCGTCAAGGACTCCGATGCTCAGGGCCAGGTCCAGACCTTCTCCGTCCCCCAGACCCCCAAGTCCCCCGAGGAGACCGACCTCGCCGCCAGCCTGAAGGAGTACGAGAGCATGGCCGTCGAGGTTGAGGGCCAGGACGCCGCCGTCGCCGCTGGCGGCCAGCCCGTCCAGCACGACTGGCTCATGATCGAGGCGGACGAGGAGGAGCCTCACCACTAGATGTTGTCGTTTAAACGAATAAAACCAACCCTCGATCCGATATAAAAGGGGACCATCAAACTTTTTTACGTCCACCCCAACGATAAAATCTATACGTCAACCGACCCGAAAGACTTTCCTCGTCTTCTTTTTATCTATCCTCCCCCGATGAACAAGAAAAAGTGCTTTTCTCTGCGACTCGAAGAAGGCTTGGATTGTCTTTCACCTGCCGCTTGCCGACGGACCGATGGAACGGGGAGAGCGTTGCTATGTTTTGAAACGAGAGAAAGAGAGGAGTGAGACAACGTTAGGAAACGAAGAGGAGAGGAAGGGGAAAACGAAGGGAAGGTGTGCTGGGAGGTGGTAATCCCGTGTATATTGTCCAACTGAACCTCGCTGGCTAGGAAATGCTATCAGCATACACTCATTGCTTCTGTCCACGTCATACATGGTGCTGGTATCATTCTGTGCCGTCCGCCCAAGTTTTTGCTACCGATATCTTTGCATCGTCGGAGTTGACTGTCTGCCCCAAGACTGCCTCGAATTGCGTCTTGAGCACTTCACCCAGACATCAAAACACACCGGAGGGCATGTGGACCCGGAATCTTCCGGAACATCGTAGGAAATACAGTCGACACCCACAAACACCGACAACTCGACCGCCATGGACCAAGCCCAAGCATCGGGGGCATACGACAACCCCCGAATGTGTGCATAATCAGTCGTCGTCTTGCGAAGAGTCATTCTGAAGTGTACCGTCAATGCAAATACATCCATCTAGCAACGGAGACTATAAACACAGCTAACGCTTTCTGCTGCTACGGATCCACAGTCAACTTGTTTACGTTCATGCATTGTTGACCTGATTCATTTCCCGAGTTCCTGCACTAGACAGAGTCTGATGTCGTCTTGCAAAGCATTCTTAGAAAAGGGAACAGAGCCTCAACTCCTGTCTGGGAGATAAAAGTAGCAGTCAGTCCATGATCGATTTAGATTCACGCTGTCGTCTCGCTCTCCCGCACTCTAATTAGCAGCCGCAGCACACAAACACACATCATCCGCTACACAGGGCGCTCGCTCTCTCAGTCTTTTACGCAGGCAAAGATGGTCATAGGGAACGGTTTCTGTCTTTTAAGCTAATTAAGTTTATTACAGACAGACGGTGCTTTCGTGTTGCCTTCCCCCGTTCCCCGTTCCCCGGTCTCTCTTTTCTCTTTCTCTTCCTCTGTTTCTTTTTTTGAGATTGTGTCTGTTGCACGTCTCTCTCAAGTCTTCTCGAGTCAAAGCAGCAAAGAAACGCAGACTTCCCAGCTGGAATACGCAGCAGAGCCATGTAGATTTGGCTCCCAAATTTCTTTCGCCCACGTCCTCCCCATCACCCGAACTGCCTCGTTGAATTTTCGTTGGACCTCCCGGGGGAAAGCTCTGGAGTGAACCTCAAAACATGCATGCATGAAATGAAAGAGCAAGACGTCATGGAATGAAAGGGCGATTCAGAAACATTGCCAATGAAGAAAATAGGTCACCAATGTTTGAAAAACTGCCCCAGGTATCCAGAGTCTCAAGAAGCATAGTGTGTATAGGCGCTTCAATCAGCTTGGAAAGCAGCATTCTGAAGGCCGATCCAGGTTCTCCCTCCCCCGCCAATATTCATCGCTCTGCCCAAAACGCCATGTACCGAATACACCCTTAATTATCACATGCAAAGTTGACCGCCCTTATGCACTGAATCCATGAATGTTCGTTTTTGACTTCGTAATGACGACCGTATGTGTGTGTGTGTGCCCGCGCGCGCGCATTTGTTTGCAAAGGAAACAGGCTGTGTGATGAACTTTTTCTCGTCCTCAAAATAGAACCAAAAAGATGGAACGGCTGACCAAAGCAACAACACCCTTAGACGTCAAAGTGGCCACCTCCAACCATTTGCTCGTCGTTGGTGGTTGTCCGGACAATGCCACTCATCCGGTTGCCTCTTTGGTTCATGTCTTCCAGGTCGTCCCAGTCGTCATCCTGGTGGTGCGAGTCGCGCATCTCTTCGTCATCGTATCGGTCCTTATCTCGCATATGATCGTCAAGGGCGCTCTCGTCAACAAAGGTGAAGCCCTGGAAGTTGGCCTGCACAGATGGCGAAAGGGGCGTGGATGTGGCAAAGCCCCTTGAAAGGGCTGCTGCCCGCTCATTCAAAGAGCCGTTGTTGTCCAGTGCATTAGTGAACTCAGGGTCGAAGTAGGACACGTCGGTAGCAGAGGTCAATTTCGGCTTGAACGGCGGGGTGATGAGCTTCTTAGCCAGGAGCTCCCAGTCAATGTCGCCAAAGAATGGGTGACGCTTCAACTCTTCAGCATCATCTGTGGCACCCAGGCGGTGCTTGGGGTTTCTGTTGAGCAGCCCCTTGACGAAGTTGCGACCCTCCTGCGACAGAGTGTCCCTAGGGAAGCGGACCTTGCCGAATGCGATGTTCTTATACATCTGCTGGGTGTCCTCCGCGTAGAAGGGGCTCCATCCACAGCACATCTCGAAAACAAGAACACCCAGAGACCAAAAGTCGACCATCTTGGTGTATCCTGACTCGTCGAGCAGCACTTCAGGGGCGAGGTACTCCGTCGTGCCGCAAAACGTGTTGGTGGTGTCGTTCTTGGTCAGGTTCGCCTTGGATAGACCGAAATCACAGAGGGCAATGTGGCCGTTGGCGTCCAAGAGAATGTTCTCCGGCTTCAAGTCTCGGTAGACGATGTCGTTGTTGTGCAAGTGCTGGATGGCCAAGATAAGTTCTGCGATATAGAACTTGGCTCTTCGCTCATCGAACCTGCCCTCCTTTTGCAAGTGCCAGAACAACTCTCCTCCGGACATGTAGTCGGTCACCAGGTAGAGATCCGATGGTGTTTGGAAGGAGAATTTCAGACCCACGATGAAGGGTGAGTCTGACATGGCCGTCCGGACCAAAATGTTACGTTCGCCGACGGTATGGGCCACTTCTTTCTTCTGGACGATAACCTTCTTGGACAGGACCTTCATGGCGTAGATCCGTTCGGTATCCTTCTTGCGGACTTGGTAGACCTGCCCAAACGTTCCCTTTCCGATGAGCTTGAGAATCTGAAAGTCCTCAGGTCCGAAATGCTTCCTCTCCGTGCGGTGGTAGATGGCTTCGACATGGATGTCACCCGTCGGAGCGTTCTCGGCCATCGTGTCGGCGTGTCCCTTGAGCGCGTACCACCCACGAACCGGGTTATTAGAGTCCCTGTTCGCCTGGAAGTCGACATGGCCAAGGAATTCCTCTCCATTCGCGCTGTGATCATAGACCGAAATATCCACCAGCATGTTGGAGTCGACAACGTCACTAGCTTGGGTTAGTCCTGGGATCATGGAAAGATTGTGATGCCAACTTACAACTCTGCTTCGGCGTCCCACTTGGGGCTAGTGAAGAAAAGCTTAGACTTGTTGCGGAACGTGTTGTAATCGGAAATGCTGGTGTTGCTGCTTTGTCGGCTACGCATGGGGATGGACATCGCCGGCCGTCCAGAGTCGCTTCCTTGCCTCTGGATCGGAATACCTCCCATGGACGGCGGCGGCAGGTTCACATGCTCCTCTTCCTCCTCAACAGAACGCGGACCTCCTGAGATGAGCTCGCTTCTCTGGAAGACAGCGACCACGTAGGGGTCTCTGGCACGCCTCAAGCCCTTCGCCTCAATAATCTTGATCGTGAGCTTTCCCTTCGCTGCAGGCACTTGAGCACCGGTTGAGCCTCTGGGCGTTTGTGTACCACTAGGAGGAACCGTCTCATTACTGCTTCTTTTAGAGCCCGACCGCTCCTCAGAAGGCTGAGCAGCTGAAAGGGCTCGAGTGGGGGTTGGTGGTCCGCTCTTTATACCCGCGACTTGTGTTAGCTTCTTGAGCTGATCAAGTGAGGAAGAGTTGTCAAGGAAAGAGGTTTCCTGCGCTGAACCGATCTGGGAATGTGTGGGAGACATTGGTGTGATGTTGGGTTTGGGGAGACTGGGATTGGATATGTGATGAGCATGCACTACTGATGTAGTGACCATGCTTGAGGGTTGCGACATGAGGGTGAGACTGCGGCACTTGGTCGATGAGAAGTCTGATGGGTGTTTTTGGAGCAACGGTCGCGCAGATGAGGATGCAGCGGACCGTCCGTCCCCGTACCACAATGACAGACTTCTCGTGGGACGTCCCATGGACGACCTTCGTGATATCGGCGGAGTCGGGTACTGATGAGTTCCCGGCAATGCCTGTGCCTTGGATGCAGTGTGTTGTGACGGAGCTCGCGGCGCGGGACGGGGGAGTGATGATGACGGGGATATTTGTTCAGAATCGCCACAGGGCACAGCAACCACTGAGCTGACCTGAGAGGCCGTCCCTTCCTTCTCGACTTGCTCGGTTGAGGGACCGGAAAGAGACTGCCCTCGCATAGAATCCGACGCGACAGGGGCAGATACAGAATTGTGAATAGAATCTGTACGAACCTGGCCGAAGTAGCTCATGATGCCCGGCAGGCGTTTGTCATGGAGGTCGGGCTGAGGAGTCGCCACACCGGAGCGGGGCGTGTCAAAGCCGATTTGATCCGCTCCATCATCGTCAGCCGGAGCGGCAGCCCTGTTTCGGTGGTCAACAGTGAGGTTCATCATCGTTGGCGTTGGTATGAGCGCAAAAGCATGCAATCTGCGTTGCGGATATAACACAACAGAGAGGAGACGAGCGCGCTGGGTAACGGAGCGAAAAGCGGAGGCAAATTTGGAGGACGGAGCTAGCTCATGACGGCTGCCAAGCCCATGTCTGGTCTGGTAGGGACAAGCGCAGTGTTGGAGACAGGTACTCGGAAGTAATGGGAACGAAGCGGAGAATAAGAGAGGTTTTTGGACATGTATTGCTTATGACGGAAAAGGACGGGGAAATTTTTCGACCTTTTCGGCGCGGGTGGCCGCAAGGATGCCGTCGCAATAGCTACCCGGGTAGTGCGATTTGATGGGGATGATGCAAAGGACCAAACGAGAGTTGTCGAATAGGAAAATAGGCAATGTGGACTTTCGTTCCGAGAACGCCCCGTGTCGCGTTGACTTGAGCGTCTTTGATCACTAGTCAAGGCCTTGCTCCGGGGGTCTTGGTGAAGACGATGGCGGGGCAATGTGCTGGGCGGTCGCGGACATGGAGGGGGAGAGAGGGGGGTAAAGACGGATGAGGGGGAAGTGGAGGGGCAGAGAGGTTGGAGGATAGAAGGAGCCGGATGCTGACTGGTGAACGAAGGCAAATTGGTACCAATACAAAGCTGCCACTGAGACCAATGTCGCTACTGCCGTTGCCGCTGCCGCTGGGCATTGGGCGAGTCAGGCCTCAACTATGATAAGCCTCTTGCAGCACTGGTACTGGCACTGGCTCTTGCACAAGCGGCCCCGTCTCGGCTCCTCTATTTGCAATTCTTAGTCCTGTCGCCGCACTGGCGGCCGAACCAAAGGTTCAGGTGGGCGTGGCGGCATGGGGTAAAGGCACCACCGCACCACCGCACCGCACTGCAGGGCAGTTAAAGGTTGGTGAGGTAAGTGGTAGGCATGGCATGTAGGTAAGCAGGGGAAGGGTTGGGACGAGGGGTAATGCGGTGATTTGCATGTGCAAGAGACTGTATTTGGTCGTGAGGGGGACCTGGAAGCGTCGTATATCACACGCGACATGGCCCTCGCAGGAAAGCCAGCTGCAGACTACGACGCCCCCAAAGCCGTCAGGTAAGATTGACCGGCGCCATCAATCAGAACGGGCGCGGAGGAGGGTTATGAAGAGGCAAACCAGAACAGAAGGCGGGCTTAGACTAGATGCCGTAGTCAAGTTACCTTAGCTTGACGAGGAGCCGTGGCGGTAGGAACAACCAACACCAGAGACGCAAATGCAGAACCAGACTTGAGCAAAGACGTGAATGCGCCTGCTGGTCTCGCAGATTTGCTTGCATCCTCGGACGATTGTCCGGGATCGTCTGCGGTAGGCTGAAAGGGCCGTTGACGGCAGTCTGATGCCACCGGCACTAGCCAGATGGGGGAACTCCAGTCCTTCCCAAGCTCCAGGTGCGGGAACAAGCAATGGAGGTAGCAGTGGGTGGTGCGTGTCCCAAAAAGCTCCTCGTTCGCCAGTCACCCCTCCATCGCCACGCTTTTGGGTAGCATGTGTGTGCCGCGAAGACAAGCCGCAAGGAGGGGACAGCCTTTGAGATGGGAGGCTTATTATCAAGGGTCCAGTTCCAGGCCCAAGACCGACTCCGGCTTCAGACCAGGCACCGCAGCCGCGCTGTCATAAGAGAGAGCTTGCGAAAGCCCTCATGACGCACACTGCGGAGGGCCAGATAATGAAGAATTGCAGAGACGAAGACGTCTGCCTGCCGCCATGAAGAAACCCTTGTTGGATGCCACTTCCCCAGCTGGAGAGCAGTTACACAAACGGGGCAGGGGAGGGGAACCAATTAGGAAACGAAGAGCATGGCCGATATCAAGCGAAGGGCGGACGAAGAGCGTCACAACTCAGACTCAGACTGGTCTGAAGGAGGCAAACTAGCATCCTAGGATTGACCAAGCCAGCTTCAAAGGCAGGCAAGACCACTGGGCTGGTGGATGATGCTTTTCAGAACAGAAGGCTGAAAGGGTAATCTTTTTTGTGTGAAGACGAGAAACGCTGTGCAATGCGGCCGCAGCAAGGAGGGCCGAGGACTCTGGAGGACAAAGGCCGTGGCAGATGCAAAAAGCAGAGCGCGGGTGCGACACAGGTATCGAAATCCGCATAGATCGGTGTGTAGGGAAAGCAGGGCAAGGCAAGGCGGAAAATAAGAACGGAATGGAAAAGTGCACTCACTTGGGGGTTGGGCCTGACATCATCATTGCCTGGGTCGCCCGCTTCAACAAGTCGAAGCCACCGGTGCTCGTGTTTGCATGTGCGCCCTCGGAGCCAGACATGGTGGGCTGCTAGTCTGCTGCTGCTGGCTGTCGGGGAATCCTGTGATGGTGGTGAAAGCGTAGAAGGAAGGCCTAGTCGAGGCAGAGGCCCAGATCCGTGGTGGGCGTCAAAACAGGCCAAGATATCGCAGCGTTGTCGGATCGATTGGTCGACGAAGAAGTTGCGCGGCAGTCGTGTGTGGGTGGATGACTGTCGCGCAAATCGGCGGCGGGAGCAGAGATGGTGTTCGGTGGTTGAGAGTGAGAAGGAAGGCGACAGTTCGGCGGTGGTGCGTGGTGCGTGGGTGTTGTGATTTTTTGGAGTTGGAATTGGAGACTTTTTTTTTTCCTTCCCGAATAGCCAGGAGGGGTGAGAAGTCAGGAAGTGGGATGGAGTGGAAGTCGGCGACCGCCCACTGCCTGACGACGGTGAGGAGGGTGTTGACTGTGTGCGTCCCTGTCGTGGGTGGTGTGTGCGTGGGAGTGGATGCAGGTGGGTGGAGGGAAGAGGGGAAATCGCGAGTGAGTCCAGGTGAGGCCTGTCGTAGCCACCTCACCTCAGTCTCTTGTCTTGCGCTGTTGCGTGTTGGCTGCTCTGGACTGGCTGGCCGGTGCTAGGGACAGCAGTGCTGGGTGGCTTGCGGTGTAGGTACTTTGAGACGGAGCGCAGGTATTTTGACAGAGCCCAGATGCCTTGGCAAGGTGCAGGCGAATGGGAGAGGCGAAGTGTGAGGTGCTGAATAGAATACTGGAGTCACTGATGTGGTGGTGGACTTGGTGACTGTGTTCCGCAAGACGGTAAGGTCAGGTAAGGTAGAGCTGGCTGGCAGGTCGTGTGGGAGTGGGGCGAAGGCGACAGCGCAACGCGGTAGAAGGCAATGGACTTGGCCCAAGGCCCGAATATGCCAGGGAGTCTGCGATGCGACCGTCCAGTGAGAGTGCAGCTGCCCCGGTGGGCGGATCGTGAAGTGGCACCGCGGGCGGAGGAGGGTTCGTGGTTCGTACGGAGGGGACCCGATGTTGTTAGGTTGGCTGGGGACCTGAAAGAGTCGGGTTTGCAGCTCGAGGATGGTTGGATGTAAGTGTTTGACGGACGGCAAAATGTGATGCCTGGCGGCGATATGAGATGGCTCCTGCCGTCAGGTCGGTGCCTGGTGCAGGTGGTGCTGGGGCGAAGAGGTTTAAGAAGAAAAAGCAGCCAGGGAATATCACTACCCGCGTGCCTGTTAAGGCAATAGAAGGCAAGGTAGGTAGGTATCCAGGCGTCCAATTCGAACCCAAGGGGACCAAGCCTCAGGTTGACGATGCCATGTGCGAGTCCAACCAAAAAAAGCCTGAATCGACATGGAAAGAGCGGCCGGCGGCCAAAGATATGGAACTCCACAATTGGGTTGCCTTTCCTTCCACTTCCAGCACACTGTGACTGCACCAGGGGAGCCGCCCTGTGCGCCAGATGCCTTTAGCCCTGTCCAGTGCCGTCAGCCCGGCATGCCTTGCTCAGCACTCCGAGGTTGACGGCAAGACGGGAAGGGGGGGAAGGATAGTACCTGCCTGCCTGTGCCTTTCAATGCTCCTTCCATCTCAACAGCCTCAACAGCCTGCCCGGACTGCATTCCACAAATCAACGGCAAGTCGATGGTCAGGTCTGGGCTGCTCTGGCCTTTTCAGGTACCTAACTCTCTACCTTTACCCGACTTTCAGGTGGTTATCAATATGCAGCTTCCATTTTGATAAGTGTATCCCGTTCCCGTCCCTGATAGCAGTCGGAGAAGCAATAGATCCATGTTGCTAATTGCAATTGTTGCCACTCATAATTGATTTTCTCTGCCCGTTCCCTCCTCTCATCCCGCGTCAACCCGCATCAACCAGACTCACCCCGTTTGTTCCTCTACTTCCCTCCTCTCCTCTCCCGTTGCGCCCCCCGCCTTTCGTCTCCTCTTCGCGAGCATAACGCGGTAGTAGCTCATGCCCACCCAAGCAGCCATGACACATGGTCACGTACCCAGGTACCCCTAACCCGTCAAAGTGCCTCCTGCCTCCTTTTTCGACCTCTCGCAACAGGTGTCTTCGCCAAGCCAAAGTATCTCGTGTCCCAAGCTAAGTAAGTCAGTCGAAATGTCCCAGGTCTGGTCTTCTGCCGCGTCCCAGTCCGGCTAGGCTTACTTCATTTCAGAGTCCCAATGTTCCAGATGACTTTCTAGAACGGACCGAACACGCCGTCGAAGGAATGAATTACCACTGCAGCCCTGTTTGAGCGAGCTTTAAGCCGCAACCGACTGGCCAATATTCACGTACAGCCCCGAGCTGAAAGAGTCTTCGTCGTTGCTTTCCATTCAGCTTGTACTACATCGAAAAGGACCTTGAGAAATCATCGATATCCTCCGGTTACCTAGTCGTGTGGGGGCCATGCTACGGCTCCCCTCCGAAACCGCCGATTGATAGGATCCTCTCGGGATACCGACCCCGCCAGCGGGACATTCCTTTCCTGGGGTATCCGTCCGTCGACATGGGCGAAAACCGCGGGGGTGGGTTGGCGGTCGATTCGGTTGACAAGGTGGATGAGTCAAGCCGACAACCAAAATGAGAAACCAACATCAACTTGGAACGAGGCATTGGCTGCCACCAACAGGATTCCTTACGTCTCTGGAAATCGAGACACCTCATGCCGTTGCTTTTTTCACACTCGCCTGCAGCAAATGATTGCCTTTGCCGAGCCAAGAGGCGGTTCTGCAATCTCTGCGCCGGCCTGCCCACCCGTCCGCCCCCAAGTCTTTTCCGCAGCTGCCTTCTCGACCTGAAAAACCAAGTCCATCTGCTGGGTTCTGGCTAAGAATACGCCGCAAATCATTGTCAGGATCTGGAATGTCTCGGGACGGCCCCCGCCAATTGTACTCAACCCCTGGTTTTACTGCCTCCATCAATGCAAAAATTGACATCAGCCAGCAACATCCAGGCGAGTACGAGCTGCACCTGCGCTCAGCTCTGCGACTATCAGACACCATTGGCCGTGTTCCCGTTCTTGGTTCTCGCGTGTCCAAATTCGGTCTGATTTTGCCCCCCTTGCTCGTGGTAACGAGCTTGCTTTTGAAGAAAGCGCGCCCCTGCGATATTGGCTACATAGTCTACCCTATCAACTTTCAAGATCCGGGGTTTTTGTTCTTACTCGGCCGGCCGGCATGCCTGCAATACCACACAATCCTTTTTACAGGTTACCAATTGACCGGCTTCGCCATATCACGGCCTGCAGCTGAGGTAAGAAAAGGATTTTCAAGCTGACTAACTCTCTTGCCCCAAAGAGACGAGGTTCAGGTTAGATCAGGATACACGAAGAGCGCAGCCCCAACGAATGTAGCAAAGCAACTCAGCACTTGCAGATTCAACGGATGCACGCAAGTCCGGGAACAAGCGCTTATGTTCTGCTGCCTCTGTGCCTCTTTCCCCCGTACTTGTCCGGCTTTACACGGACACAACCACCTCTAGCGGTATGGCTGAGCAGCAGCTTGTAATGCGTAAGGTCGTGCGACGTGGGTTGACTAGATACCCCAACTTGCGAGTCTGGTCTCTGCAGCGATCTGTCTGCCGGCCGCTATCTGATGGAAGTATCAGTACCGACACAACGATTGCAACCTCGTGCTTACTTGGGAGGCCCTGCAAACCGCAGCTTGACGTAGCATACCAAGATGCCCGCGCCATGATTCAGAGACGTTGCCAACTTACAACTCCGCCGTTTCCCCCACGCACGGCGCAAGATGGAAGCCGGCGTGCAATAAGGGACAATCCTCCCCCGCCGTTCATCTGCTGTGGAGCAGCCGTCCCGCCGCTACGTAACTGGTGGAATCCACTACGTCAACCGCTCTCTCCACGTCCCTCGTCCTCCCACTCAACACGGGGGCCTCCCAACTCTGTCCCCATCCGATCCGACGTAGCCCAGCGTTCGAGACATGGCGGTTTTGCGTCAACGAGTCATTAGACTCAACGTGCACACCACGAATATTGCCATGGCTCCAACCGGGCTTGAACACCACAAGCTCGACTAACGTAGCAGTCCACAAGAAACATGGAACCTGGCCAAGGTCATCATCAATCACTATTCGCGATGCGCCCACGCAGCGTCAGGGTAACTTCATGTCAACGTCCAATGACGACCGACGTCTCCAAGGCATGAAGGTTTTGGTCTCCCCGAGGCACATGGTTGACATGTTCCCAACAAGACCGCTCAATGCAGCAATTCTGCAGTGAGTCACCGATACTTATTGGTCAATGCCAGGTACAACTGCACGAACCACAGCTCCCCTTGTGCTACTGTACAGTTTCTGTACAGCTGCTGTACACCCAAAGTTTCTTCTGTCCACACACCACACACACCTCGCTGCGCAAGAGTGCGCGTCTCTCGTCAATGTTTCGCAACCCCAACCCCGAGCAATCCTCGTCCGAAGAATCCTCGACCCGACCCGCCGGATCTGCAACTCTCCAATCCCGCGCTGCCTCCGTTGACAAGAAGAAGGTTACTGTCCAATCTTCGAACCGAGTTCCTCTCAGCTTCCACTCCTACCCTCCCCCTCCTCGGATACCACATGCCGAAGAACCTTCGTTTGTTCTCGTACGACCCTTCGTGCGTCTCGAGCTCCCCCTCTCTCACATGAATAGAAATGAATCAATCCCAAGCGGGGAAAACACTTTGATGGGGACAAGTTTGACAAAGCTTCATGCCCAGAACGCAAGGTTCAAACATGGCACCGCAAGATTACCTGTTGGACTCTGGGGGAAATGGCAAGCTCCAATGGATGGTACCCCAGCTTGCTTGTGAAGCTATGCACCTAGACGCAATACCAGCGTCGATCCATCCGCATTCTGCCGATGAGGGGTAGCTCCATTGCCATGTGTATCCCTCAAACACGATATAGACGAACCTGCCAGAAAGGGATATCTTGGCATTCAGCGACGAATCCCGAGCTCGGTCCTGCCTCGGGTCTGCAGAACATGCCGACTCGATGGTTTGACAGGTCAGTTGAAGACGTACCCGGAACTGGCTCTGGTAGGTCACATCCAGCAATGTCCCATTTGTTAATTGTGAATCACCCCAGCGGTGTCGTGTTGAATTAGATTGGACTTGGTGAATCCAAGCCTTTGGCTGTCATGCAGTCGAGTCTGGCCACTTCAGTGGGAGTTGGTCCAGCTAATCGATGCGTCGGCCAACCGGATGTCCTACATTATATCGACATAGATCCATTTCTGTGTTGTGTTCTACGAGCTCTTGTTGATTATCATTCGGAAACATGTTGACTATTGGAGTCGTGGGTTACAGGTAGAAGTTTCTAGGACATATCTACAGCCGCGCAGTGAGGGGAGAGCCGCCCATGGAAATGTAAATGAAACGCAACAATTGAACTTGTGTAAAACCGGCTGCGATGGTCTTTGAAACTAGGTATTTTGAAAACGTATTACTACCGTCCAGGTCCGCATTATACTACTCGGTCTTTCGACTTCAATACTAAGAGTCATCTTGGATTTGGGTCAAGGCCGCCAAACACAACACGACTATGTGACTCGAGGAACTACATAGCCACACTACCTTTCTACGTGGTAGAAAACCTAGGAAGAAAGGCGACCATCGAAGCCTGAGGAAAGACGTTTGGTTACGGCTTCTTTGTTTCAATGACCACTTTGTGTAGAAACTTGAATGGAATCCTCGTCTGAGACTCAAAAAGGTGTAGGCTGCAGTCATAATACCAAACTATCATTAGATACAAGCACCTTGTGTAGGATCAAAGGTGCGGTGATCAATCACAAAGTCTTTGTCTGGGCGCGGGAGGTCGCGATTGGGACAGCACCAGTGAATGTTGCAGAGCGGACGACCGAGGTTGCGCCCTTCCACCTCTTGTCCACCTCACCTTTCCCATCCGTTCAGTCCAATACCTGGACGTCAACTACCTCTCGTCTGAATTCTACTTGCAAGCTGAAAAATCCAGTTACGAGGTGACACATATTTCGGTGAATCAGTCGAACTGAGTTTGGTCAACTGCTGGTTGTATGCACCCTTTTGAAGGACATCTACAGGTTCTCAACACCACCTTGATGCCAGAGGAATCTCCGAAACGCAAGCATAACAATTTTCCTCTCAGGAACAAATCTATTTAACAGCACGATCAATCCAGGAACCGAAGAGTCAATTCATCTTTTCTATCCCTCACAAAAACCCAATTGGATACGTCCGCAGGCACAGTTCAGGAACAGACAACCATCTCCTTTTGGACACACAACTACACTGCATACCCAACCAAGTCTACAACATCACCACTACACACCCAACCACTCCAAACAACCACACATATCATGATGGACACTGCAATCACCTCAGCTAACATGGCCGCCGTCAATGACCCCATGGACCTCGACTTGGGTGACAGCCCTGCCAATCTGAGCAACGAGGCCGTTGCCCGCAAAACCCCCAAGATCATCGTCACGAAGTCGGGCCCCAAAAAACAAGGTACGCTCAGGAACCAGGAACCACATCCCGTTTCAAAGTCAATTCATGCCAACAGCGGAATAGACACCAAGACCCTGCGCGCCACAAATCCCCAGCGGGTTACCAAGGCCCAGAATACCAGCAAGCTCGAGCGCAAAATTGCCAAGCGCCGCTCTCGATACCTTAAGGCACGTGAGGCCGTCGAGACCCTCACAACTACCCCTCCCAGCTCCGACGTCTCTGACTCCGAGCTGTCAAGCACCAAGGCCCAGCGTACTCTTGCCGAGAGCCGCTCTCGGTACCTTGAGGCCCTTGAGGAGTGGGCCCTCCCGTTCACCCCTCCCAGCTCCGATGTGTCTGATTCTGACGACGAGCTGTCAACCACCAAGCTGGAGGACGAGACCACGGCCACAACCAACCCCGGCACCGACGACATTGCCCAGGTGACACCGTGCACCCCCCCTTCCGAGGACGTCAAGTTCCTCGTCAACCCCAAGATCATCCTCCACGGCGAGACCTTCCGCTGGAACAAGGTCAGCGACGGAATTTACCAGAAGGCCGATGTGCTCAAGAATCCCAAGATCATCCTCCACACGGCGACCTTCCGCTGGGAGAAGCTCAGCGACGGCAGCTACATGAAGGTCAACAGGGTTTAGACGCCCACACCCCGCATCGTCTTCGTCCACCGCAAGTGATCCGGCATAGCATCAATGGGCCGGGCATTTCATGAAAACGGCGGGGGCTGTAGGATAATCATTGGGATAACATGGAGTTATCGAAATTGTTCGTTTCACTGGCGTTCGCTTCCGCGCTGGTTGGTATAGATGGAGGCATAGGAAAGGCGTTTGAGATAACCACGGAGTTGCAGGTCAGACCGGAGACCCTTTTGGAAATTGTTTATGAGCACGACCCTGAGAGCAAAGAGGTGTAGGATACCCGTCTGTCTTTATAGGTCAAAAACTTTCCCCCGTCAATCACTCTTTTGATTTGGACGTCGACAAGCCACAGGCACAGCCCAGACGGGTTGTGGGTCGAAAGTTGTAGGATAGGATATGGAAATCAAAGATTGGAAACCAAAGATGTTGCTTTATTGTGAAGTTGATGTGAGCTCGCCCCTAGTGTCTGTTAAATAATCTGAGCCCTGCGCTCTCCAAGTATCTGGTCAATCTTCCTCTCAAACTCTGGCGAAGACGTCTTGGGGTTGTTCCGGACATCGGGCGTCTTTCTAGGGAGCAAAGGATCGGGGAAGTGCTCTGCCATGAGAAGTCAGCATCATTCAGTCGTGAGCGCCAAACGCATGCATCATGTCTCCTGCATTGAGTCAGCGCCCACAAGGAAGGCTGCTACTCACTGGGATCGAAGCGCTGGTCGACGAGCTTCGCCTTGACGGACTCGCACTCGTCCCTGAACTTCTTGTTGTTCCAGTTGGCGGCCTTCTCGTCCCCGGCGCTGCCTCCCGCCTCCGGCCCAGGGGTCTGGATCGCGGAGGTGGCTGCCATGTTCCTTGTTATATGTACCCCGATGGATTGAATCCTTCCTTGCAACCGTCCATTAGAATATTGCCAACATATGATTACCACGAGTTTAAATGGCATGCTTACTTTACCGTGCTCGCTCACTCACTGCCCGATTCGGCGATCGTCCTGCGCCAAGAGGAGGATGCCCAGACCTGTTTGTTTCCGAGATCTCGGAATCTTCAAGAGACAGATGAATAAATGCACAATAGTCAAGAGAAAAGGCCTTTAAACAAGTATTGATAACTATATCACACCTTCCAAGGCCGTGTCGGGGTATATGAGTCTCCGCCCTGCTTATGCAGTCCAGAATAAGCTTGCCAAAGTCATTGCGAATGAGTGGGATGGGGGACGTCGTTCTCGTCACACACAGACACAGCCAGACACGGGCCCGGGCAACCCCACCATTCCAGGGTGTTTCCAAGATCCGATGCAGCGCCTGCTGACGCCCACCCTTGCAATTGCCCCTCCACACAGTTCCCTGGAGAGAGAACTTCGAAGGTACTTCCCACCAAGCGAAACTGGCTGTGTGCACACAAGTTTCTGTTGGGTCCATCTCCGCGGTCTAGTTAGCCCAAAGAAAAAAAAAACAACGACTCCGTTCAAGGAACCGCCGAGCCTAGGGGTGCCCGTCAACTTCATCCCACCTTTTCCCGCGTCGGACCCTACATCAAACGTCAGACACCTTGACGTCTTCCCTCTCATCCACCTTCAGCCTCGAGAATATACCAATGCTGCCACATTAGTTATTATACTATTTGCCTTCTCACGGTCTACCCAAGCTTCTCTCCTCTCCCTGACCACCTTGCAATCCCCTGTTCCCAAGGCGGCTCGCGACATTTCGACGGCATATCACATTTATACGGCACCAACGTACGAACCGCCAAGATGGTCAAGAAGGGCGCTGCTTCCAACGCATGGGAGGATGACTGGGAGACTCAAGCCGACAGGCTCGACGACCAGCCGCAGCAATCTGAGCCTCAGGTTCCTCTCAGCAAGGCAGAGCGCCTGGCCCGGCACGCCGAATCGAATCGCAAGCTGTGGGAAGAAGCGTACGTCTGTTCAGGCCATCTTTCCCTCCGTTGCAGCCCGGTTTCACGAAGCCCTTACGCTTCCACGCCCCCAATGCCTGCGAGACAGCTAGCTAACCCTCACCAACCCAACAGCGACTCTCCAGCACCCCTACACTTCATCGACTCTCAGCCTTCCGTCCCCCTGGCTACCGGCTTCAAGCCCCAAGTCAAGGTCCTCAGCCGCAAGCCCGCACCGCAAATGATCGCACGGCGCGACCCCGTCACCGGCCTCTCCCAGCTCTCCCTTGCCGATGACGACGACGACAAGGCAGCCGAGAAGAAGCCACAGCTCACGCCGGAAGAGATTAGGGCGAAGCAACAGCGCGAACTCGAGGAGAAGCAGCGTCGATACGAGGAGGCCCGCGCAAAGATTTTTGGGGAGTCAAACCCTTCCTCTGGCGCCTCGAGCCCAGGGACCGTCACGCCGCCTAGAGGGCCGGGCGATGGTGGCAGAGGCAGCCAGCGCGGCAGAGGCCGTGGCCGTGGAGGTGGTCACAGAGGAAACTCGAGCAGGCAGGAAGACAGACGACCCGTCAGTAGGCCTGATGCGGGCCGATCCGAGAGCGGCCGCGAGCTCTACGACCCCAATTTCGCCCCCAGAGGAGGCGTCTCTTTGCAGAAACGTGGAGGAGATTCTGGTCACCAGTCTGGACGGTCGACACCTAGGGACGACGACCAGCCGCGACAAGCGATCAGATCACCACGCGGGCCGGATGGGAGTGGAAGAGGAGGGTTTGGCTTTGCCAACAGAGGCACCAGAGAAGGTTGAATTACTATGCTAAGACGACATATCTACCAGCCTCCGCCAATCTTGCCCGCCAACTGGATGACGCGCTCCGTCTCGGTCGTCTTATCCTTGCCTACGTCGCTAATCACCTCGCGATACGTGGTGAGCGCCAGTCTACCCAAGTCTATGCCAGTAATGTCCGCCCAATGCGCCAGGGTATCTCGAATGTAAGACGGCGAAATTCCATCGACAATATCTGCTCGGCTCTCACCATTTTGAGAGACGACCTCTTCGCCGTCTGAGTCCTCGGCCGAAAAGTAAGCTTCGTCAACCTCGGCAAGGAAATCCTTTTGCTCCAGCGGACCGGGCTTAGTCGCAAAGCCCTTGCGCTCGACGATGATGGGATCGTCAACCTTGATCTGACCACCACCGTTGGTACAGCCGCCAGGGCAGGCCATCACCTCGACATAGGCATACTCGAGGCCCGCGGGCTTGCCGTTGGGTCGCCTTGCGGCACCGAATGCCTTGCCGCCAGGCAAACGAGACGGTCGCGCTGGCTTTAGTTTGCGCACCAGATTTTGGATATTACGGAAGCCGTAATACCTGGCGGCCTTGAAAATCGGGTCTCCTGTGGAGGATGCGACGATATACTCAGTAACATCGGCATTGCGTCCACGGATTGTTTGGATTTGGGAGTTGGGGTGCTTGGAAGCCACCGTTTGGAGAGTAAAATAGAGGTTACCGCCTGACGAGCCCGCCGCCTGAGAGGAGCGGTGGGCCGCATGTCGCGGGAAAAGGAACTTATCCAGGCGGGCGTCAGGGAAAGTTGCGCGTTGGAGGTTGGGGTTACTCCGGGGGAGGTCAAAGAAATTGAAGCCTCTTGATTCCGCGAGCATCAGAACCTCCTTGCTAGTGATGACACAGTCGACGTCGCGAACCCCGCGTCCTGGTTTGCCGTCTCCTGCCCACACCGTGTCCGTGAGTTCCTCGCGACTGGCCTCCAGCTTCTTGTCGAAGCACGGCATGACAGCCAGGTGCCAGATCCTGCTCGGCGGGATCCCGAGCTTCTTGCTCAGCGTAGTCTTGAGCAGCGTGCCCATCAGAGCCTGTGGCGACTTCACCCGCGACAGGTGCGGGAGGACGTAGGGGTGCGTCTTCTCGGCGTAGCAGACCCAGCCGGGGCACGAGGACGTGAGGATCGGCTTGGTCACAGAAGACGCCGGCGCAGCAGCATTCTCGGCACCGGCACCACCGAGGACCTCATCTGCGCCGAGGACCAGACACGCCTCGCGCGCAACGTTGGTGTCCACGACCCACGTGAAGCCGTTATTCCACTTGCCCCCGCGCGCGAGCCCGTCCGGCCCGCTGAGGAGCCCGTCGAGCATGTGTCCGGCCTCCTTCTCGGTGGCGCCGCCGCCAACCGCGGCGGCCAGGCTGGCGCGGGTCTGCGGCGAGACGCTCGCGACGAAGAGGCGCCTGCTCTCGTCCTCGAGGCCGTCGACGCGGAACTGGCCGCTCTCGTCGGGGCCCACAATGCGCAGCGCGGGGCCGAAGTCGAGGGTGTTCAGGACCTCGGTGTGCGACTGCATGCTCACGAGCACGGCCTCGGCGGAGGTGACGCAGCCGGAGCAGGCGAGACAGTCTGTCAGGGAGATCTCGGCGGGCGCGGCGGCGGCGGCGGAGCCGTTGGCGGGTTGGCCGTCGAGGATTACTTCGTGCTCGAGGGACGCATCTTGAGGCGGGGTGGGCGGCGCGGCGGGGAGGGTTTCGATTGGTTTGATGCAGGCGACGCCCGGACTGATGAAGTCGTTGAGGTCGTCTGCGGAGAGGATTGCGCTCATTGCGCCGGCTTCGGGTTCGAGATCGTGTGGGAGAGGAGGTGTTGGTTGTGTCGAGATCGCGGGGTAGATTTTCCGTTTGGTTTGGAAGAGTGACGCACGAGAAGGCCTATTCAATGTAGAGAGAGGATGGGAATGAGGCCGCTTTTTGTCATGTGCTTGCTAATGCAAAGAGGGTCGTCGGTGCCCCTTGTCTTTTGGCTTTACGTCTTGCTAATTCCTCAGCGAATCCGGAGATGCGCAATTGGGCGGAGGTGATTAGCAGAGACTGGTAGAATCGGAGTGTGTGATTGCAAATCCGTCCCCCACCACTGGATTGGGGGAGGGGAATCTAACAGTGGGTGCAGTGCAGTCACGGTCGGGTCACAGCGCTGGATTGCCCGCATGCGAAATCGGCCCTGTGGGTGGCGGATTGGGAAGGAAAAATTTAGTGGAGTTGAGCCCCGCGGCATCGGCCGGCATGAGGCACCCCTGGGGAGAGAAAGAATTGCAAGGGGTGTTCTTTAGGCGGTGCGACGCGGTGACAGGGAGCCTGGTCCTGTACGTGTTCGCCCCATGCCCAGCTGGGAGACCGGCTGGCAGGGGGAGGGGGACGCGCGCGCAGCGCCTCTTCCGGGCCGGGTCTCCAGTCCAATGACGTCGCTGGAAGTATATACGTACGCTGTTAGCTGAGGTCGCCTCAATTGGTATCTTCAAGAGAGCTTCATGTAATCTGTAAGAACTTGCTGCTACTGTCCTAAACACACTCAATTTGAGGCACTGGGTTCCCACTATTCACAATGGACGTAAGTGACAATTCATCCGCGGTGACAGACACCTGCTGATCACAACCTGCAACAGGCGGTATCAAGCTATAGCTTCGGAAACTTGGGCTGGCTCTCCATGCAGGCCATCCCGCTCATTATCTGGCCAAGATTCATCGGAAACCTCCTCCGTCCTGATGACTACCAGGCCGCTGCTACCTGTAGGCCTTCTCCATCTCTATGGCAAGAGCTCTCCGTTAACTAAATGCTCCAGCTCTCGAGGACTACTTTGCCCGATCCCTCGGCTTCGCCCTCCTCACTCTGGGCCTCCTGGTGGTGTGTCTTTCGGGAGCAGTTCCCCTGACATCCGAAGATCAAAGTCAGTCCCTCTTGTTTTCTAGCCCTTCAATGGCATACTTACGCACAATTAGCACCCCAAGGAACGATATCACCGTACGCCAACGCCGCAGTGGTCCTCACTTCACTTCACCACGCCTCTGCCGCCTTTTACTGCTACAGCCGGTACCTCAGATCTGACCAGACGGCCTTCGTCCTGGGTTGCCTGGGCAGCACCGTCTTTGCCGTGTTCGGGCTGTACTGCCTCATGTTCGCCGGTGACAAGTCGCGCCGGAGCAAGAAGGGCTACGACAAGGACACGAGCTCGTTCCCTTTCAAGAACGCCGAGTCGTACAAGTCGAAGAAGAAGGGCCTGTAGGGACAGTCATGCATCTTATGACAGCGTTCCTATGTGGCGCGCTGTAGAGAAAATGAGAGATCTAGGGTACTGCATATACCTGGACCTGATGTATAACCTTTGCTCGATGTAGTGAGTTCATGTCGAACTGAGGGACACATCACCTAGATTTTGCCTTCAACGGCAGCCATATAGGCGCCATGTGCAGATAGCAAATTACTGCTTGTTCACTCAAAAAAAACGTTCCTCTAGTGTACAGTACGCCAAACGCCCCTTTCTTAGCCCGCAAACCCCATTTCCAGACACCCAACCCCACTCAGAGAGGTGCAACGAGCATGTACGTTGCTCTCTATGTTCTTTGAGGAACCACTTCGAAATGAAATTAGACCTCTCTGGCACACGTGTCTGGACCGTAGGCATCTTCATATCCCCATCTTCGTGCTTACAGAACCTCAGAATCCGCCATATCATTCTTCCGTAGACCTTTACAGACATCTATGAGATAATGGAAGGCGGAGTCTTTGGGTGTTCATATCTTGTCGTGCGGCTGTCAATGCGCCTATCAGGCGTCAAACCCATGTTGCAAGCCCAACCGCGCTTAACACAATGAGTGCAAACATCGGCGTCGAGGGCGGAAGAGCACCGTCTCTTCCATCTTCTGCAGCCATCGCAGGCCCTTGGGGCTAGGAACATTCGCCAGCTCTTGGTCTTCGGTGTGACGGGTCCCTCGCAGACTTGTGGGTGTGTCACAACCAGATAACCGAGAGAGTATTCTTTTCCGCAAGAACGACAGGGAACCTTCGGCTCGCCCTTGTCCAGATGGGTTGTTGGAAACTTGCCCATCTCCTTGTCATCGCTCTCGTCAACGCTCACATTTTGAGCCTCGCCATCCTCGTCATCGCCTTTGCTTCCGCACCCCCCGTCTGAGCCGTCCAGGTGACTCTTTGAAGTGCATTGGTGGTTCTAACTGGTTGCTGCGACTTCGGACTTGGTTCCGTTCGCCATCGTCTCTTCGGCCGGTGATGCTTTACGAGATTCCGCGCCATCGCCGTTTGTAGCAGCTGTCTCCTGGCTCTCGATGACTCCTGAAAGCTGTACATCCGCGGCCCCGGAAAGTACCGCCGCTTTGCGCTTGTGCCAGTCGACCTCGCTCTGAACAACTTGGGACAGCAGGACCTCTTTCTCTCTCCACTGGTCCTTGTACTGCTCTTCCCAGTACTTGACCTCTTCTGCAAGATTCGCGGTTTCTTCTTGCGCCCACTTGACTTGATGTCTGCAAAGTGTGTAGAGCCTTTCGAGAGGCATGTCCAGCTCCTGCTTCGTGAAACCGAGTTCCTCGGTCATTGGTGTGAACAGATCGGCCGAAAGCTCATCATCGTCTGCGCCGTCATCAATGGCATCATCCTGGCCAGCGGCATGTGATTGGGGAGTCTTGAGAATAATCTTGAGCTTGCCCTTGCCTGTGGGACCTGCCTGCATCGACTTGGGTACAGGGTCGGAGGGACGAAGAGCTTCTGTCTCGTGGACGGTTCGCATGTGCTTCGCCAGGGCATCGGATCTAGTGAACGAGCGATCGCATTCTGTGGTCAAGTCAGTTGATGGTCTGTATGGCACTCGACGAGATGAACGTACCTGGGAGGTAGCAGTAGAAGGGCTTCTCCCTGGTGTGGGAGCGCATGTGCGCCTTCAACGCGTAGCCACTTGCGTGGGCCATGCTCTTTCTGTTGCATCCATTCCATTCGCAGGTATACTTCTTCTGACGACTCTCAATATGGTCGTTGTGGATATGCTCAACCAACTTATCCATGTTGCCGAGGTCACCCGCGTCGCAGCCTTCCCATGCACAGAAAGTGACCTGCTCTTGAAAGTCCTCTTCGTCGAGTCTAGCATTGATGGGCGAGCTGGGAATGTCACCAGATGTATCCGAAGAGACGTCCGACAGGCCCTCGAGAGGGTCGGCCTCGGCTTCGGGCTCATGCTCGGGCTCGGGCTCCTGGACTGGTGCAGGCGCAGGGGATGTCGTTGAGGTTGCTCCTAGTCTCTGTCGCTTCGAAGGTCGGAGGAGAGATTCATCCTCATAATCGTGAGCTTCGTTGTCGGAAGCGTCCGTGTTATCCATAGAGGAAAGAGGCGACTCGGGCGGTGTGGAATGGCGCGCCATTGTGTGCTGTTTGATGCCAAAAAAGCTCTTTCGAAGGATGCAGAAAACAGTACCAAGTGGTATGTGATGGCCGCGTGAGATTAATTTTAGGGTGAAGAGGATGAACTGCGTTCCTTGTAGTTGTGCTGGTGAAATTGAAACTTGCAGCAAGAGACAAAGATGCTCGTGCAGAGATGAGAAAAAGCCCAGCAGCAAAGCAATTGCTGGAGAAAAGTCACGTCAGTTGACAGAGTGCTCCTGACAACCTTAATGGTGTTTGCGCCTGCACCTGGATCGCGACGACCGTGGCTCACGGAGCTCACCCAGTGGGTCCAGTCCTTCCCAGCTGCGAATTTCCGGGGCGATTCTGCCAGCTGGGCACCAGGTGGCAGACTTCCCCTTGCCAGTGTCCAACACTCAGCTGCCAGGCACCCACGACGCAGCCCAGGCACACCCCCTGTAAGTTGGGGTCTCGAAATCCTTCATTATTTTGTTTATGCCCCTCCCCCACCATCACAACCCAGACAGACACTCATTTTGCGCATTTGCTGCCTCCTTGCTCGTAGCACTCTAAAACACTCCTCTTTGCACCGAAATAATCATGGCGACCACGCGCAAGGTGTTCTCCCTTGAGGGAAAGGGTCTTAAGCTCGACACTGCTGCTGACCTCGAGCCCCATATTGCCGAGTTGCGCTCTACCGATGTGGAGGAAGTCAAGTTCCTTGGAAACACTTTGGGAGTCGGCGCTTGCAAGCTTCTCGGAGAGGTTTTGGCCACCAAGAAGAACCTCCAAGTCAGTTCACCAGCCCTCCGCTATTTCTAACCGCGCATGCTGACGAGCCCAAACCCAGTCCGCTGACCTTTCCGACATCTTCACTGGACGTCTCCTGAGCGAGATTCCCGAGGCGCTCTCCTCCCTCCTGACGTCCATCCTGAACCTTCCCAAGCTCAACACGATTAACCTTAACGACAACGCCTTCGGCATCAACACCCAGGCTCCCGTCGTTGCCTTCCTGGCTGCCCACGTGCCCCTCCAGCACCTTTACCTGAACAATAATGGTCTCGGTCCCCATGCTGGTATCCTGGTCGCGGATGCGCTCTCTGAGTTGCACGCCAAGAAAGAGGCGGCTAGGAAGGAGGGCAAGGAGGTCCCAGACCTTGAGACTGTTATCTGCGGTCGCAACCGTCTGGAGAACGGCAGTATGCAGGCCTGGGCCAAGGCCTTCAGCCTCCACAACAAGATCAAGGAGATTAAGATGGTCCAAAACGGCATCCGTCAGGAGGGGATCAGCCATCTTATCAGCGAGGGTCTGAACCACGCGACCGAGCTGCGCATCCTCGATCTCCAGGATAACACCTTCACCCTTTCCGGCGCCAAGGCCGTCGCCAGCGTTCTCCCCAACTGGGCGCATCTGCAAGAGCTGGGCCTCAACGACGCCTACCTGACTGCCAAGGGTACCGCTCTCGTTGCCAAGGCTCTTGCGAAGGGCAACCAGGACAAGCTCGAGATTCTCCGTCTGCAGTTCAACGACATTACCGCCAAGGCTCTCACGGGCATTGCCAGCGCCGCTACCGACTCTCTGCCTGCTCTGAAAAAGGTTGAGCTGAACGGTAACAAGTTCGAAGAGGAAGATCCCTCCGTCGTCGCTATCCGTGAGCTTCTCGAGGAGCGCAAGGAGAAGCTCGGTGGTGACATTATCGACGAGGACGCATGGGGTCTTGACAGCCTCAGCGACCTGGAAGAGGAGGATTCCGACGAGGAAGAGGAAGAAGAGTCGGATGAGGAGGAGGAGCTCGAGCCCGAGAAGAGGGCCGAGATCCTCGTCAAGGAGGCCGAGGAGGCGCAGGAGCAGCCTACCGTCCAGCTCAAGGATAAGGAGGTGGACGATCTGGCCAAGAAGTTGGAGAAGACGGGAATTTAGACTCAGAAGAAAGAATCCCTTTGGTTTATTAGTTTAGAAGGCGGAACGCAAGAGGAAGGCCCCATTACACGGAGACACGATACCCCCAAAATACACTTCATCCCCCCAGTACCCTCTGCCCCCCAAACACCACCCACAACCTGCGAGATACGTCGCGAACTCGCATATGTCGAGTTATGGCTGCGCAAAATCGCATGAGAGGCTGCCTTCTTGAGGCTTAGCAACTTTTGCGCCCTCGCGGCATGCGCGTACAAGGTTCCCTCGTGCGTTTGGGGTGCATCATCCCGCAGCTCCCCGGTCATCACTCCACGATCACCCCACACATCTGGCCGTCTTGAGCACAGCCATATCACAAGAGCACTGCAAATAAATTGCGTGAGCAAGAATGTCTACATATAATGGGAACAGCGTCTGTTCCTAGAGACTGCATTATACTGATATCAATAAACTTAACATCACCAATCACACCCAATCTTACGTTGCAAGCACACATTGAACCAATATGACAGGCCACTACCTGTTCGAGACAACGGACTCGGTGATTGAGATACTCTGGGACGTGGCGCTCGCGTTCTTCATCGTCCGCATCGCTTGGACTTATTTCCTCCTCACCTTCTCGACGAGCGCGCTCCTTTCATGGGTAATCTGCAAATACCCAGAGATGCTGCTACCCGCGTCCAAGCAGCACCTCACGACGCCAGAAGCGGAGCTCATGCTCATCCCGCTACAGGCAATAGTCGGGGTCATCTGGGCCCGCTACGTCGTCGTTGCCTATGAGATCCCGCGCGTGGCGTGGTTTAGGCTCGCCCTCGGCGGGCTGGCGGCTGTCCTCATGTTCGCGGCCGAGGCGCTGTTGGGGCTCGTATTGTACGAAGAGGGCTACGGGGACTGGATCCGGGAGACGGACGGCACGGCGTGGCTCGCGTCTGCCGGGCTTCTTGGGGCCTTTTCTCTGATGCCTACTGCGTTGATGGGATTTGAGGGTAAAGCTGCCGATGGGGTGGAGGGGGAGGTTGTGACGGCTGGCTCGACGTCGCTTGGGCTTGAAGGCAAGGAGTTGATGGAAGCAGTGTAAGTTCAGCGGTTGGTGTTCAGGGGATATTGCTGACATGTTTTAGACCTGCGGTCAGTGTTGCGTCCAAGGATGAGCTGAAAGGGGAGAGAGCTTGATGGGGGGTTGTGAGTGACGGTTCATGATGTGTTTCACGGCTTGTAAACGAGTTTGGTTCTGTAATCTGGTAATAGTTGCTGAATTGCACAAGGTTTCAATGGTCCATGTTCCGCCCTGAGGGACTTGAGTCAACAGTGAGGAACTTTTGAGAATAAATTAATCATATACCGACCAGTTTTAGTTGAATTGAATTAATTTCAGCGTCGACGATGGACACATTGTGAGCCAAGACATCGTGCCCGGCAGTGACGCAAATACGCCTGTAGTTTGGTCATGTAAAGCTGTGTAAGTGGACTTGAAGCTCTTACATGCTGAGTCTTCCAAGCTTCCTGTCCCCTCAATATTCTACCTTCATGTTACCAAAACTTTGCCGTGTTCCTTCAAATCTATTCAAAAGGGTGACTCGTTTTGCAACACCAGCTGACCTGAATCACCTGGTCAAGAAGGTGGTGAGATTGAATGTGCCGGAACAGGATGGCAGCTGCCAAGTAAGTTGGGTCCAAGGTCGCCTGTGCGCCGGGCGCTCCCGCTGTGGCACTGTGGCAGGGTTCATTCTTCAGGGTGTCCCAGTACCTGGAAAAGTGGATACCAACCGCCACCATGAAGACTGAAGGATGTCTGTCAATCCCGACCTCAACCTCTTTTTCATCTTGGGTCTATCTTGGGTGATATCTGCCCTGGTGATCCGACCAGCTCAGAGAGTGGAGCTTGGTGCCTTTTACGGAATCACTTCAAAGTTCATGCCATGCTGTTCACTGGCACACCATCACAACCAGAGGCGACTATCTGGACCTCGAAATTGTCCCGATGAACACAGTACCTACCACCCCAGAGAACACGACTCTTTATTTTGGACGATGTTCATTCTGGGAACAATATTGAAAGAGCCCCATCTGACTCAGTTCTAGTGAACAGCAGAAGGCATGCCTGAAATTGCTGGTTCATCTTTCTGACAAAAGTCAGGTAGTTCTGGATGTCACAAACCTTGAGAAGCCTCAGGATGCCGAGGCGTTGCAGTCTGAAACGATGTCTTGGGCCGGGCTACCTGAGAATATTGATGGCTTGCATATTACCGCGTGGATCTCTGAACACTTTGCTTGAGAGAATTGGTGAGCCAGAACAGGCCTCACCATTCCTTGGCAGGCCGCAGCTTCATACGGGGGTTGGTGAATCGTGCCACTTAAGGGGCACATTCCTCACGATGAAGAGTCTCGTCTCACCCATCACCAACCCCCAGGGGCCTCAAGAGCCTCATCGCAATAAGTCTATATCTTTTCTCTGCAGCTTCCGGTCCTCTCCCTTCTTCTTTTCTTTTTTGTCTTGTCATCACCAGCCTGTTTGAGACACTGATCTGCCACCATGATCAAAACGACTCTTCTCTTGCCTCTCCTCCTCAGCATCGTGGGCGCTGTGCCCATGATGAGCAGTTCGCCTTCCCAGGCCGGCTGTAGCAACCCAGACACCGTGATCGTGTCCACAGTGGTCACCAGAACAACACAGCGTGGCGGAAATGCCTCGAGTCCACCAACGGTCCCGTCGAACAGGCCGGTATCCTCAAGTCCGCCAACCGCGCCCTCAAACCCGACGCCCGTAGCTTCCTCGCCAGCATCAAACACAGGAAGCTCTAGTCCGCCGACGAGCAGCGGCGGTAGCAGTGGAGGAACATCACCAGCGTCAGGCTTCAGAAATGTTCTGTACTTCACAAACTGGTACGTCACATTTCACTGCCACTCTTTGACTCCCAAGCTGACCAGTTCAGGGGCGTCTACGGCGCCAATTACCAACCATCAGATTTGCCCGCCGACAAGGTCACCCATCTCCTCTACTCCTTCGCCGACATTTCCTCGGACGGCACAGTGTAAGGTCCAACGTCCTGCCAGATAGCCCCCGTGACTAGACTAACAAGCCCCAGCATCTCATCCGACCCTTATTCAGATACGCAGAAACTCTACCCCGGCGATACCAGCACCGCGGGCAACGCCAACGGCTGCGTCGGCCAAATCTACGCCCTCAAGAAGAAGAACCGCAAACTGAAAGTCGTCCTCTCCATCGGCGGCTGGACCTGGTCCCCCAAGTTCGTCCCCGTCGCCGCCACCGCCGCCGGCCGCCAGACCTTCGCCTCCTCCGCCGTCAAGCTCATGGCCGACTGGGGCTTCGACGGCATCGACATCGACTGGGAGTACCCCGCCTCCTCCACCGAGGCCGCCAACTTCGTCGCCCTGCTCAAGGCCTGCCGCGAGGCCCTCGACGCCTACGCCGCCAAGAGCGCGCCCGGCTACCACTTCGTCCTCACCGTCGCATGCCCCGCGGGGCCCTCGCACTACCAGCAGATGGACCTCCGCGGCATGGACGCCTACGTCGACGCCTGGCACCTCATGGCCTACGACTACGCCGGCTCGTGGGACACCACGACCGGCCACCAGGCCAACGTCTTCTTCAACCCGTCCACCCCGCTCGCCACCAAGTTCAGCACCGAGGTCGCCCTGACGTACTACCTCGCCCAAGGCATCCGCTCTAGTAAGATCGTTCTCGGCATGCCCCTCTACGGCCGCTCGTTCCTCAACACCGACGGCATCGGCCTGCCCTACAGCGGCGTCGGCGCGGGCTCCATCGAGAAGGGCGTCTGGCACTACAACGCCCTCCCGCGCGCGGGCGCCAAGGAGATATTCGACGAGAAGGTCGGCGCGCTGTACAGTTACGACTCGAGCTCGCGGGAGCTCGTCTCGTACGACAACGTGCAGAGCGCGAACTACAAGACGGACTACATGAAGAGCAAGAGCCTCGGCGGCGCGGTCTTCTGGGAGGCCGCTGGCGACAAGAAGGGGGATGGAAGCCTCGTTGCTGCCGTCGCTGGACGGATGGGCTCGCTGGACTCGACGCAGAATCTGCTGAGTTATCCTGGGAGTCAGTATGCCAACATCAGGGGCGCTTGATTGTTCGCGAAGGTGTTCTTATTGTGTGAGTTTTTCTTGGTCCTCTCTTCTTTTTCTCTGGCATTGGAGGCGTTGTTGCATACTGGGCTGGTTGCGTTTGGTTTCATCTTCCCCTTGAGTTTGTCAAAGTTGGGCAATAATGAATTACGAGAATGAGGCACGAGTAGACGACGGACTACATAGACTGAAGTTATGAATTCATGAAACTGTTGAGCCAATCTCACCTCGATTGTTCCTCGTGCCCAAACAATTCTCAGGTATACGGTGATGGCTCAATACCAGAGGATTTGGTGGGCATGTTGCGGAGCGCAGCTTGTAAAAGCAACCAAAGCCGAAGAACTCATACCACTGGCCCTATGAAAGAGACTTCAAGGGACGGTACGAGGTGAATAACAAGATTCCAAATAAGCGCTGGCCACTTCACTCAAGAGGCAATGTCAACGCTGATTCGCCCCGTGCGTTTCTGATCCTTCACCAAGGATGCCAAGGGTGCTTAGACTGATAGGATTCAGGTTGAAACAACTCATCTGTAATCACAGCTGGCGATGCATGCTCTAGCTTTGTTCTTTGCAAGACTGTCAAAAATGCTCGGCGAGAACTGCTCTTATCGGGACCGAGCTAGGGAATCGAGGTTTGCAACATGAGGTTTGATATCCAGTCCAGTGATTCGTATTTCTGGGAAGAAAACCAACCTAAGCGGATCAGTAGACTTCATGATGAACCGTATGGCGTGCTGTCCAAGCGTGAAATCATGTCCTGCTGCCGAGACTGGATTCTGGCTTGACCTTTCCTATCAGTTGAGCACTTTGGTGAACGGCTGTTGTGAGATTACAACTGCCACAGAACACCTCGAGGCAAGCTCATGCGAGCGCACAAACAGCACACGTTAGTACGGC